TGAGGCCCCGGCCTCTGCTCCGGGCTACCCAGGCCAGGAGGCAGTGGGAGTCACCCTCACAGCCCCATTCCCTTCACTTTCGGCGTGGGGGATGGCCGGGGGACGCTTGGCCCAGGATCCAGGGTGGGTGAGCTGGCTTGGGTGGGTATTGGAAGAGAGGAAGGACCTGAAGGCCCAGGCCCACCCCCGCTTTGCGGTCAAAGGGGCTGTGTCCTGGGGTGCCTGCCTATCTCTGGCTTGGGTGAGGTGTGCGTCCTGGTCCCCATGTGTCCACATCTGTGTCTAGGAGTGTGTGTGTGTGTGGTCACACTCTTGCTGACAATATGGACGCCCAGGTGCCCTGGAGGTCATGCAGTGTATTCCTCTACCTCCAGACTAAAAATACATCTATCCCTCCCTCCATGCTTCCATCTAGAGAGGAAAGAATCTGGACGGTTTTAAAAGACCTCCCGAGGAGTGACCACTGTGCATGCATGTGGGGTCACTTGTCATCTGCCTTATATACATCCACGGTGTTTCTGGGACACCAGAGGTGTGTGGGTCCAGAACGTGTGAATATAACATATAGGGGCCTTTCATGCGATGGCCTTTCTTCCTGGATTTCACAAGAGAGGCAGTCGGGGGATGTGGGTTGGGGGCAGGGAGCGGAGGTGCAGGCCACACGTGGGTGCATCCCCCGCACTGAGCATGCTCCCCCACACACGTGTGCCCCGCGTGCACCCAGCCCCAATCCCTGCTGCAGCAAAAGGCCAAGGCATTCTCCTTGTGGGAAGAGGGCATATGGGTGCCCAGCACCAGGCCTGGTGGGCAGGTCAGGGATGACACAATTAAGGAAGGGTTCCCCAAGCATCAGGGACTCCTGCTAGGTAACAAGGATGGGGGGAGTCCTTGGACAGGGGTGCCCAAGTTGATCGATTTATCCCAGCGGTGCCAGAGTGGCAGTGACTTGTGGGTGGGCAGGCTCCTTCCCTAGGGGAGATAAGTAATGCTCATGAGTCACACCACCCGAAATACATGCAAAGCTGCCTCCATCGCCTTTAGCTGTGGCCCAGATTGACAAGTTTGTTTGAAATCGCGATCCACGGGATATATTTATAATCGCACCTTAAAAAAAAATCTCTCGAAGGCCTCCCCTTCCCCCACAGCCAGCCGCTCAGCTGCTGGGGCTTCTACAGGCAAAGATACCTCGCGGGTGTATGGGGGGAGCACCCCCTGCCGCCCCGTGCTGCACCCTCACGAAAGTGTCGTGGGCTTGGTGGCCCCGGCGGAGGGAAGGGAGGGACGGGAGGAGTGGCCTGGCAGCTCGTACCGGGCGCTCAGCCCACTAGCGGTGGCCACCCGTTCACCCCCGATCGACCCCCAGCTATGGAATTTCATTTATTAAATGTCGAGGCGGCTGCTGGCAGCCCTGCCACTCGGCTGTCTTTGTTTCTCCGCTGTGTGGGCGCGTCTCGAGCACGTGGCAGCCAGAGCGCGCAGACAGGAGAAAAGCGACCTGGGTTTTGTGTCTATGGCCGCTTAGCAAAAAGAGAACCCGGCTGCCCAGAGGGCAGTTCCCCCAAATCCGAGCCGAACTCCCCTCTCCTTGGACTCCTGGGCTTTGCAGAGAAGGAAGGATGATTCACCCCGCTGCCCTCCCCTCCGCGCCCCCCATCTCCTGGTTGGCCCAGAGAGTACCTGGGAGTGGCCCTGGCACCACACACTGTCCAAACTTTGTTCCCAACCCCCCTTACCCCCGCCTTGTCACAGCCAAGCTTCTGGGCTTGGGGCTGGGGATAAAAGGGTTTCTGGGTTTCCCTGTGGAAATGTCACCACCCCAGGAAGCAGGATAGCTAAAGTGGAATCACACACAAGGTTCTGAAAACAATTTAATAAGGAAACGTACAGGCATTCTGCCGGCCACTCCTAGACTCCCCGCCGCCGCTTCAGCCCCCTCCCCACTCCTGGCTGCAGCCATGACGCTCTGCTGACCCCTCGTGGTGGAGGCGGGCAGCGGACCAGGGCTGCGGGAGACGCCAGCTGGCTCCTCCCAGGCTGGAGAAAGGGGCGAGGCAGTCCGCTCCTCCCTCGTTTCTTCCCGCCCGGGCCTGGCACCACAGGGTGTGGAGGAGGAAGGAGAGAAGACCACACAAAGAAACCTGAGAGAGGCGCGGAGAGTTTGCAAGCTTTTGCTGGCACCTCCCACACAAACAGTTCTTGGATTGTTGTTCTAAGCAGGTCCAGTGTGGAATCCCTTGTTCCTGCCTCGTTCTAAGGTGGGCTCTAGAAGGCACCGTGCCTGGTCCTGCCACCTGTCTCACTCCGCCGGGTTGAGGGAGGGAGGCGCTGTTTCCAGGGCAGTTATTATCCTTAGCTCACCCCAGGAGGTAGTATCCAGAGTTTCATTTTGGAGGTGAGTGGACTGAAAAACTCAGAAAAATTCAGCAATTTGCTTAAGGTCAGTAAGAAGGTATAGAACCCGGATCTGTCTGACATCGGTACCCCCTCCCTCCAGGGACTAGGCCTCTTGGTCCTTCCAGCCTTTGCAATTGGCGGCCCCAGAGGCCAATCCAACTTTTACCACACCCTTTGCAGGGACAGTTCTGGAAGGACCTCTCTGTCCTGGGGTCATTCAGGAAGGAGACAGTTTCTGGAATCATTCACTTCCCTTCCTGAGGGGGACCACAGGGAGAAGAGGCCAGGAGCTGCCACCTGCTGCTTTCTCTGCCCAACCTCACTCTGCTTCTTGCTGAGGACTGTGTATGGGGGGAAAGGACTGTCCTCCCCGTCTTACTGTACATTTTCTTTCCAATGTCATGTATGGAAAATGGAGTTTAATTTTCTAAGAGGGCAGAGAAGACGCTTAAGAAATATTTCTGGGGTGGGACTCCTGGCTGCTCCAGTGACCCTTGGTACTGAAGTCCCGCACTTTTCTCAGGAGTCCCCCATCAGTCACTCTCTTCTGGGAATCCGGATCCCTCTCCACGGCCCCTGGGACCAAGCTCAATTCTGAAGGCTACACCTTCCCCCAAAGTAAGAGCATGGCCTGCAGCCCCCTCCTTCCCCAGCAAAAGGCAAAATGCCAGCGGGTGGAGGTGCGCCTTCCCCAGCCCGTCTGGCATCAGGGTCCTGCCTCCGTTTCAGCCAGGCGTGACCCCCTGCCACCCTCTCCTGGGATCAGGGGACAGTGCGGGACCCTGCCCGGCCACCTGCCACCCCCAGTTCTACGAGGCGGACTACAAGCCCCATGATGCTGCGGGGCCGAGCTAGAACAAGCTCTGCCCGGGCGCCCGGTCCCCTTCCTCTCTCCCCCGCATCCCCGCATCCCTCGCCGGCCGCTCGGGCTGAGGGCCGGGCTATGCGGCTGCGGG